AAGGTAATAAACAGATCAGTGCCTCCCAACCCCCACCAAACCATGACCACAATCAAGGTAATAAACAGATCAGTGCCTCCCAACCCCCACCTCTGTAAGCCCTCCCTCTATTCGTGGTAAGGATATTTCACATGAGACCCATTCTTGATGTGCAATACATTCCTGTTGACCACAGGTATGATGTTATAAAGTACATCTCTACGGTTATTCATCTACTACAATGAGAGTTTTATTTTACATTGATGTATATACTATTCACCCATTTCATTCCATATTGTCACCTATAGGCAAGCTTCTTTATTACAGCCGTACAGTACTTCCTTGTGAGGATGTGTAACACATGTTTTTATCCAGTGATGAAGGATTAGTCTGACTTTTTTTTTTAAATCTTGGGTGTTTTAAACAATTTTACAATAAGCACATACGTGCAGACAGTTCTTCAAGGTTCTCTTGTCAATACTTCCAGACAGGAACTTAGGCATGGCCTGCCAAGTCTATAATTATGTCTCCTTTTAGTTTTTGAGGAAACTCTAGTGTCGTCTATACTGATTGGACCCTTTGATACTCCTATTAGCAGGTCAAATTCCCAGTCTACCCATCCTCTTTGATTATCCTTGTGCTTTTCCTTTTTTCCTTTTTTGGAGAGTTGGACAACAATTTCCCTGCCTCTGAGCTATGAATCACATGGCTTATGTCTTTCTCATCTTTATTCCTAGAATCTAGGATTCTACTCACACGATAATAACTATTCTAAATATATTTCTTAACTTTGCCCTGATACGATTTCCAAAGTGCTTTAGGGGCAATAACTCGTGAAACAAAGAAAAATAAACTATGCTTTGAGTTCCGCTCTCCACCTCTCAGTTACGGGTAAGAACATCAAGTTATGGATTTGCTTTTGTTTAAGTTAACAATCTGTAAACTCCAAATAGTCAAAGACAGAAATGCTTAGCTGGAACGCATACTCTAAAGGTTTAAACAATAGATGTATGATCATAATGTGAGTCATATATAATATAGGCCGTCTTTACAAATTGCCTGTGTCCACACACAGTAATAACTGTATCTGACAATGAGTTAAGTTTGACTTTTTCATCGTAATTAGAATGGATTAAATTGCTTATGGATATAATGTAGTTTAATCAGTTGCTTTCTCCTCCCTGCCCCTACCCCCAACCTTTCTCTCCTGGAAGAAAAGCCTCTTCTCAACTTAGTTGGTGAAATATTTTCTGATTTCAGGACTTTTTGAAGTTACATTAAAGGAGTTTTTAAAATTTTTAAACATTATCCTTACCCCAAAGATCTCAGTGTTCTATTAACACAGAGCTACAGAAGAGGAAAGGGAAGCAACCTGGATTACCTATTTACTGGAGCACTTACTGGTCTGTGCCTCTCACTCACTCCACTGCTTCCAGCATCTACAGCAGCACCTAGCAACAAGGACGACAGCATGCAGCAGGGGCTGTGACAATTCTGCATGATAACCGGACGAGACAGATGGATATGTGAACTCTGTATGGATATGCAGTCCAAAACAAATCTCTGGGATACACAGATGCCATAATCAGATGAAGCTGAAATCCCACCATCGTGTTTCAGCTAGGCATCAAGTGACATTTTAAAAATGGAAAATGAGTTAAGAGTTGGACAGGTTAAAAACACTCTAGCGTGCGACCCACCACTGAATTTCCATCCAGTGATCCAATAAAAACAAGAAATGGAGTACAGAAAAACTGTGCTTCCTAGCTCCTGCTTTTGTCACAAATACATCGTCATTAAGATCTAGCCAAAGTGTCAGAAGTATCTATCGTGAGAATAAAATACGTTTAATTTTTCATATGCTATCCTTTAGCTATCTATTGCAAGCAAAATACTCTTATTGTAACAGACACTGAAATAGTAAACGCAGGGATGTTGACCAGCAACTCAGTGGACAAGTCCTTTCTGAGTCTGCCACAGAACTCAAAGTTCAGATAGTCAGTCAATGAGTTGGCATAGAGAGGCAGCAGATCCTGGCTCTTTCTGCTGAGCATGAGTCTATAGACAAACTGATCGGGATCATAGGACCGCATGGATGGGACTCCAGAGATGTGGTTCAGGCTTGCATGGTTTCTTCCGTCCTTCACCCCCTTTGGCAGGTGGTAGCACAAACATAGTCCCATTTCCTCTGCTCACTCCTCTTTGTCCAGCTTTAGGAGGTGCTTTGCTGTCAGCTCATCTATCTGATGCATTGCATGCCCTTGGCCTTGTAAAGAAGAACACTAAGCAGGTGTCTGTGGGTAGATGCCAAGAACCCTTCCAAGAGAGTACTTTGTCTGCCATTTTACAGAAGAGACAATGCCAGGGATTGCTTGTTCTCTTTTCATTTGATTTTTGCCTTTGTCTCTGTTTTCCTGTCTGACTGTCTCTGTCTCTCTGACTGTCTCTGTCTCCCCCGCCCCCATTGTCTTTTGTAATCCAGGGTGGCCTTTAACTTGCTATGTAGCCAAGGATGATTTTGAGAGTCTGACCCTCCTGTCTTTACCTCCCATGTGCTAAGATTATAGGCATGTACCAATGCACTCAATTTTATACAAGGCTGGAGATTTAACCTAGGGTTAGGAATGCATTCTACCAACCTAGCTACATATCCTGCCTTCTGTCTGGTTTTATTCCTTCATGAAAACTCAAATTGCATTAGTGCTCCATGAATTTTACATGTGGCATTTGGTAATAACTGAAATCATGGCATATGGTATACCTATTTATTTCATTTTGGTGAACTTACTGTAGTATAAGAATTTATAGTGGATAAATATGCATTTTTAAAGCCTCTCCCCCCCTCTACTCTTGCTTTTCTCCATCCATCTGTCCCTCCTTCTCTCCTTCCCTCCTTCCCTCCCTCTGTTTCTCCATGCCCTAGTTCAATGTAAACATCCCAGAGTGGTGGATCTAACTGGGATGATGCAGTGACATGGAACAGGCAAAATGGCTTGCAGTCTGGGCTTGCTTCTTACACTAAAAGACATCAGTAACTTCTTTGAGTGTCCACTGCTGCATGTGTGTTAGGAAGTAGGAATACATACAAATCCTCTTTGCCTGAGAAGAAACAGCATCACCATGTGCTGTGCTGCTGTAAGGACCAGTACTTGTTTGAGGAAAGCTCTTTTCTTCCCTTGAATGGAAATGCATCATTAAACTATTAAAAATATCTTCACTGTTCCTCAAATGAACGCTTGCCTTATGCTTGGGATGAGCCAGGATCCTCAGAGTTCCTTGCTATGGGTCTGCTAGTTCCATTGATGTCACGGTTCACAGAGGAGGCCAAAGTCTGGGCCTGTGGCCACTTCACATCATAGTGCACATATTTCTGCTGTCTGTTTTCAAGCTGGTATTCATAAGGGCTCTTGTTCCTCACACCACTCCTCTTCCCTGTAATTGAATTTCTAGGATTACAGATAAATATACCATTCAGTATACTGTACTATCCAAAATTAGCATCCTAGGTCAGAAGGTTATAAAATATAGTCAGCCTGATGTCCTGCACAGGGTAACAGTTTGGGGAATCTCATACGCTCTACAAACGTTAGAACTGTCAGATCTTGTCATGTTAGCTACTCATCACTAATGTATGACAGCCATGGCTGTAGTTTTCCTGTTTAGAAAATACTTTTTAAACCTACGTTTAATGCAGGTTATAAATATTTCTTCTATGACTTAAGCTTTCAAGTCATAATTGAGCTTTCAAGTTCCATTACAGAATATTTTTATTTTTTTTTTACAGAGTCAAAAAAGTCATCCCTTGAAGACACAGAAAATAATAATTTGAGATAAATGCAGATGAAAGAACCAAATCCATTGAGCCAGGGATGAGACAAGGCCCAGGCTACTGACATGGAAATATCTGGCTAGATTACTTACTCATGGAGAGCCTGGCTGGAGTACTGAGTCAGAAGGAGCCTGGCGAGAGGCAGTGGCTGGGTGAGGTAGCACTGTTCCCTGCGTGCAGTCTTGTCTTTGCCATCTATTAGCAAAATGGGAAAATACGTGTGGTGTTCAATGATGTCTTCCACAGAATCAAACATCTGAAACACAGAAAGAAGAGTGAATGCCTTTGAACACATCTGCTGCCTATTAGGCATGGCTAAGCTGTTGTACGTTACTCAGGGAAGGTGGACCATTTTCGTAATTTTGACATTGTTGAGAGACAGGCTAGAAGTTGATATTGGTGGTGTTGTTTTGAGGCTCACCCTGCAGCTCGGCCTGGTCTGGACTCTGTAATCCAGACAGGCCTTGAACTTACAGTGATCTTTTCTCAGCATTATAGGTGTCAGCCAACATGTCTGGCTGTTTCATTTTGTCTTGAGGATGTAGCAAACGAGCTATTAAAGGGTGTGTGGCAAGCACAAAGAGATGACAAGGGGAATCAAAGTGCCTGTGGACCACAAGTGAGCACAATGGTAGCTCTTAAGTTTCTTATCCTCAGGGTCTGCCCTAAGTCCGACTGCCTAGCTCAAGATCCTCCCTGATCCATTGCTGCCTTCCCACCCATGACTTAGATAGGTTGTGAGGTTACCGAAAATGAAGACCATGAGTTCAAAGCTTGGCTGTTTGCCATTTACTAGCTGCGTGACCCGAGGCAAACTTCTTGCATTCAGTTTCTCTGTCTACCAACAGTGGTGGTGACATTAGGACTTTCCTCTGGGATTCTCTGTGAGCATCAATGGAGCTTAAGCATAGACAATGTTTGGAAGAAAGGCATCTCCATGTTCCAGCACACAGAGAGGGTCCATAAACGTGAAACCATGGGCTGCATCCTAGACTAGCTTCATAAGTCTTACGAAGAAAGGAGTTTTTGAACTTCATTTCCAATTCCAAACCAAAGATGAGTTTTCCTTCCTCCCATCCCTCCCTTTTTTTTTTACACTCAACAAAGTGGCCAATGCAGAGAACCTTTCTGAGCAGAGCTCATCCACTCAATAGGTTCACAGACAGCTAACTCTTCCCTGGTGTCAGTGGTCAGGGGCAAGGTGCTTACTCTTCTCATTTCTGTTTTCCTTAGCATTGTTCTGAAGTAATCAATCTGATATCAATAGCCTCTCTCAACAGTCTACTCCGTGGGCCATTTCTATAAAACCACAGTGTTAGGAAACAAGGCAGGTGCACTAAACCACATTCCCACCCCAGTCTTAGGGACTCTGGTGCTGTGCCCACAGCTGCAACGCTGCTTGAAAAGCCTGGGGGAAGAGTCTGTAATTAAACTCCTATTTTTATCTTAGATTTCCCCCTAGGAGAAGAATGGATGTCAAATGTCCTAATATTAGATTCTAAAGTCTGTTTCAATCTTTTGTGTCTGTCCTATGTGCACTGTAGACGGCACTTTCTTTTTTTTTTTCTTTTTTAGAAAAACAGTGGGAGAGGGAGGGAGAGGGAGACAGAAAACGGAAAGAATAGGGAAGAAGGAAGAAGACTGGAGGTGAGAAAGAAACCACATGTTATTGTTAATCTGTCTTTCAGTCTTAACAGCTCAAGTTGTCAGTAAACATTTACCATGAGTTTTAGAAAGTCACTGCTGCTCAGGTGTTTGCATAGAGGGGCATTGGATGAGTCTCGTATCCCTGGATACCCACGAAATGGTTGCTGGTCCAGTCCATGAGTAACGAGGCATCGTGAGCTAAGTGTTGTACATTCAATATATCCATGCTTGTGACCTAGAATCTACAGCTCTTACCCTATATGTTGAAAATATCAGTACTGCACTCTCAAAGGGAGGAGTTCATCCCAGGACATCACCAGGAGGGGACTGGGTCCTCAGCATGGTCAGTGAGAAACCAGTGTTTCCCATGAGCAATTGAATGACCTCCCAGGTTTTTGTTTTGGGGACACATGTCTTTGCTTGTCCTTTGTGTTTGGTAAGGATGGCAGACAGGTAGAGAGCCTTCCCTGGATCTAGTCCAGGTGCTTCTTATAGCCCTTGTGGTCTGTATGGTCCTCACCTTTGCCTGAACCACATAGCCTCCAGGAAAGGGCTTTTCAGCATCAGTTCAGATGAGATTGGACACTTCCCAAGCACCTGTCCCCGTGTACCTGCCATGATATTTATATCATGTCATCTCACACTCAGCTCCTATGAATTAGGACCTACTGTCTTCCTGTGTCATTACGAACACCACGAGATAGATGAAAACAGGACAAAGTGAATATTGTCCCCAGAAGCCCTCATGTGTTTCCTGCTGAAGCGGCTGGTTATGCTGTCTGAGCACAGATGGAAGAGCTGGCACTTGGCTTGCACTTCAGCAGAGATTTCTGCATCTAATTCTCTTAAGGACGCGAAGCTCTTCAGTAAGATAGAAGGATTAGGCTGCAGAAGGCACATGAGGGCCATCTCACTCTTACCTCAGGGCTCAGTGCCTTCCAGTAGCAGTGAGAAGAATCTCTGTGGGTTGCAGTTTCTTATAAGATGCCTAGCACACAGTAAGCTCTGGGTAGATGTTGCCTGTTCTCAACCTGCAGTGCTTGGGGGCTGTCATCAGGCAGAAGAGATTGTATGCAAAAGCCAAGAAGTTTGCAAAGGAGAGGAAATCCCAGTACTGCAGTTTGCTTACCATTCCTGGGCTTCAGTTTCACCATCTTTCTTTTTTCCTTCTTTTCTTTTATGTGTGAACTTTTTTTTGAAATTAATTTTTTATTGGATATTTTATTTATGTTTCAGATGTCATCCCCCTTCCCCATTTTTCCCCCACTCAGAAACCCCTTATCCCATCCCTCCTCCTCCTGCTTATGTGCCCCTACTCACTCACCCACTCTCACCTCCTTGCCCTCAAATTCCCCGACACTGGGGCATCCAGCCTTCATGGGACCAAGGACCTCTTCTCCCCCCTTATGTTCAACATGGCCATCCTCCCCTACATAGGCAGCTGAAGCCATGTGTCCCTCCCTATGTGCTCCCAGGCTAGTGGTTTAGACCCTGGGAGCTCTGGTTGGTTGGTATTGTTGCTCTCCCCATGGGGCCACAAACCCCTTCAGCTCCTTCAGTCTTCTCTCTAATTCCTCCATTGGGAACCCCATGATCAGTTCATTGGTTAGGGAGTAACAAAATACTCATGGGAACAAATATGGAGACAAAGTTTGGGACAGAAACTGAAGGAGGGGCTGCCTGGAGACTGCCTCACCTGGGTATTCATCCCATGTGCAGGTACCAAAGGCAGATGCTGATGTGGATGCCAGGAAGTGCATGCTGACAGGAGCCTGATATAGCTGTCTCCTTAGAGGTCTGCCAGAGCCTGACACACACAGGCAGATGCTCACTTTGACTCTCTTTAAAATGGAGATGAGAGCAGTTCCTGCCTCCAGGGCAGGGCAGGGTGATGGTGGTGATGGTGGTGGTGGTGGGTGTGGCTCTGAGAACTCAGTATACCCATGGTGCCTGTGCATGGGGCATGTATGTGAATGTTCAACAGATATAGGGAAAAAAAAACCCTCATGTCTGGAGGGTTCAAGAATAGGGAATTAAGGACTAACACAGAAAAGAGTTTTTTAAAATAGGCGTTAGTATGCAGTAATTTAACAGTTTGTGCAGATGCTGAAAGTAGAGTCTCTAGGTGGGCTCAGTTGACAGCTCCTTACTTCCAAGGCCACCATGGATGGCTCACAATCTGACAAGATGCTCTTAGGATATAATTACTGAGTTACTATGCAGGTTTTTTTTTTTTTTATTAGCCAGCCAAAGTGTGACATATTGGAAACAATACTAAGACCTTAGTATAGGCTCTGTTTCTCCCCAGAAAATAATAATGTGTCCTTCCTAGAGATGCTTCAAGGAGAGAGAGAGAGAGAGAGAGAGAGAGAGAGAGAGAGAGAGAGAGAGAGCAAAGTACAAATCACCTGGCAGAAGGAGTAGCCATTTCCTAGTTCTATAAGGAAAACAACAACAACAAAAACCATGAAGCTCAAGCACTTGAAAATCATACAACTTTTTTTGTTTTTGTTTTTGTTGCTGCTGTTTGTTTGTTTTAAGAAGAAAAACTCTGTGAGCTGGAAGATGTAGAAGGACACTGTGAACGTGAGCTAGCCGCCCTTCACGTAGGTGGGTTTCTATCTGCAGGAGGTTCTCACCTAGTTAATGAAGGAACTGACTAATAACCACAAGAAAACAGTAACTAATAATTGTGGTAGAATCGGTCTCTGTCTGACCCAGTCCTGTTCATTGCCTTGCTAGCCCTCATACGAATGAACTGGCTACTTGCCTTAATTTTTATACTACTTAGTTGCTCAGATCACACACATCCTGGGCTGAGGAAAGGCTGGAGTACTGATCTCACTGTCTATTTAAGCTGCAGTCTCATTGCCCTGATAAAATATACCCCAAAAGAGTAACTTGATGGAGAAAGGGCTTAATCTGGCAATGGGGTACCATTCATGACACAGTCCATCAAAGACCAGAAGTCCAAGGCAGCTGGTCATATCCATAGTCAGGAAGCAAAGAGTCATAAATGTTGAGATTCAGCATCCTTTCACCTTTTGATGTGGTTCGGAACCCAAGTCTAGGGATCGGTGTGGGTCTGCACACCTCAATTAATGGAATAATCTTTAGGGCCTTGTTTTCTAGGAGATCTAGATAGGTCAAGTTGACAGTATTAACCATCTTACTTCCTCCTCCCAAGTGCTGGCTACCTCTCCCCAGGCTACGTGTGATTCTCTGAAAAGAAAATCTCTGTATCAGAGACTGGATGTAATCAGGACTTTTGATGCAGGCAGATGACAGAATTGTCACTCATGTGCCTGCAGCAAGCACTTGCTAAGCCCCAGTGACATTATTTCAACATCTCCTGATGAACAACAGGTGTCTACGGAAGTTCTGGGTTTATACTGTGTGAGTTTGCAAGGGCTGTCATAACAGTGAAAGAAACGCTGTCTATCATAATAATAGACTGGGAGAAACAACAAAAAATGTATCTCCCCACAATTCAGCAGTCCTGAGGTCTCAGGTGTCTACACAGTTGACTCTTCCTGAAGCCTGTCTTCTTGGCTGGCAGATATACACTGGCAGTCTAGCCCAGGGGGGAACTTGTCAGACAAATGAGACCACAGTGTGAAAAACAGTCTATGTTCTTACATTCAACAAATTTATACTAAAATAGTCTGGTTTGTTTTACTTTTCAGGGTATGCTTCAAGAATTGCATGTACTAACACAGCGTCCTCTATAGACACGTAGAATGTTCTCATTAGTCAACTACATACTCTAAGCAGGCTTTGTAGGAACAACACAGGGCTAGCTCGCAAAAATGTTTTCTGAAAGCTATTGAATGATCTTCAAAACTATTTCAGTTTTAAAAAATGGAGAGTGGACAGGGGCTAGAGAGATGGGTCAGTGGTTAAGAGCACTTAATGATTTCACAGAGGACCTAGGTTTTGTTCTCAACATTCACACGGCAGCTCACAAACACCTGTAACTCCAGCTTCTGGATATCTGATGCCCTTCTGACCTCCTGGGCACCTGCACTTATGTGCATGTGTATACCCAGATATCCCCACAAACATATAATTACAAATTAATATTATAAAAGGCTTTTAGTATAGCTGTTGACAGATACCTATTCACTGCATTTAAGAGCTAAAGTCACTGGGTCTCATTATTGTCATCCCATGTGCCCTTCACACATTATGACTTAGGAAGATGCAACTACTCATTAGGAACAGGTCGATTGTCCTTTTGGCATACATTATAGTGTTGGCTTGGGTGTTCCTAAACAACTTTAGCTGTCAAATGTCTATCCTGTTTTGAGACATGGCATATTTTAGCTGGATGCTTATAATCCAATTCCCTGTAATTAATCTGTGGAGCCATGACTCCTTTTTTTTCCTTCAATAGACATTAGAAAAAGTTGATTCCTTTGCCATCTCCCAAATCTAAACTTAAATGGGATCATATAAAAGATACTCAGGGGCTGGAGAGATAGCTCAGTGGGTAAGAGCACTTGCTACTCTTGCAGAGGCCCTAGGTTCTGTTCCCAGTACCCACATCTGATGGCATACAAACTCAGTTCCAGGTGACCAAATGCCCTCTTTTGGCCTCTGCACAAAGCTGCATGCATGCGGTACATATACGTGTACTCAGGCACACATATACACATATATGTAAAATAAATAAAACTTAAATGATGCTTAGTAGAGAATAGTAACGCTTGAGTGCAATCGTGAAAGTGACCCTACAACCATTATTACTATAGTGCACATGGTACAAAACAAGCCAAATGGTTAGTCTGATTATGTTGCTGCATCAGCTAACAGTTTTTATGCATTTGTTTTAGAACAATTGGTCACTGTTTGTGAACATAGCTAAATGCAGACAGCAGCATTTCCTGTTAGGCCTGTATTTCAAGTAGCTAAGTGCCCTTGCTTATGTATTCTAAGGGTTAAAGAGATTAGAAAGCAGGTGGCTTGCAGGCTTGGGAAGGACACTTGGCAACAGTGGCTCACTATTCTTCCCTAGTGTCATTCTGATTGAGGTTGTGACAGGGTGACAAAGTCTAATCTGGGGTCATTTTGAAAATGCTTGTTCCTCTCCCATGGGGAGATAGGAGAATGGAGTGCCAGCAGGGGCCGGGAGAAGCTCTCCACAAGGCAGCATGCAGTTTCTTCTTTCTGAACAGGTTTCTTTAACAGGTTTAAGAGGCTGAGGGACATTCAGTGGCATGATGCACTGATGCATGGTGAGCTGAACATGTGCCAGCATGTTCATGGAAGGAGCTGGAAGGATATCATTGCAGTGTCTCTCCTCCTGTCCTGTGATCACTGGGTATGTAGACAAGGATGTAGCATCTTCTAAACTCTTGTTTCTTTTTTACTCATAACCAAGGAAAGGGAGGTGGTTGGCCTGTACCTACCTCATTTCCTCTGAGTCCTGTACCCAGGGCAAACTGCTGATTGCTCTCGAGGAAACGGATTTTCACATTGTAGACCTTGTTCCCATAAAATACCACCAAAACATATGGTTCTGTCTTGGATTTTGTGGAACAATCTCGGACCAAAAAAGTACCATCCTGAAGCAAAAGGAATTATGGTTATCTCCTCAGATGTGCAAAGACCCTGGCCGTAAGGTGACATAAAAAGGATGCTCTTATGAGATTCCTCAATGGATTTACATTCGGCAAACTGCAGAACATTCCATTTACCTCCCCGAGCTTTCACTTCACGCCTGTCGGGGTTTGGATATGAAGTGTTTCCTCAAGAGGCTAATGTGTTATCAGGTGGTGATATAGAAAAAGCAATTCGTTCGCAAAGATGCTAACATCATGATGTTAACCCATTGGTGAGTTCAAAGCTGAATGGTCTGTTTGGAGGTGGAACCTAGTCTAGGAAGTGATCATCAAGGGCGCACCTTTGAGAGATGTATCTTGTTCTTATCTTCTCTGTGCTTCCTGACCACTGTGAAGTGGGCAGCCCTTCATCCATGATGCTTTTGCTTTGCTACAGACCTAAAAGCAATGGGATCAGCCTGCCAGAGGCTGAGACTAGGAGCCCAAAGAAAACTTTCTCTTGAAATTTTCTCTGAGTCTTTCGTCACAGGAATGGCTAACAGTGTTTGTATGGATAATATATTTACCGCTTGATGAGAGTGTAGTAGATACACAATAGGTGCTCCTTCTTCCAAATCTTCCTTGACTCTTACAGTCTTGATGAGACTCCAGCCAGGTTACCATTTCATGAACTGACACCTGCTCTGGGTTACATATTGTCCCCTTTCTGCACAGGGAAGTCCTCCTTCATACCTCTCTGGTGTGTTCCCCTGAACTATCACTGTTCACATGTGTCCTGCTCATCCTGGAGATCCAATCTTATTCTAGAGAGGAATGAAAGGCACCACAGACCAAACAAGGATCTTAGCCCAGGAAATTGGACTCCTGTGTGGGGAGATTACAATTCAGGATCAGGGTTTGCAAAAGAAGGATGGGGCTTTGCAGAGACTGATGCCAAAATGAGTAGAGAGATGGAACAGGAAATACAGCCTACAGTTGGGTCAAGGCAAGAGTGGGGCAAGGAAGAGGAGATAGGAAATGTATCAGAAGCATCAGTGTCTGAGGCCAAGGGGTAGACAGCAAAGGTATGCAGATCAAGAGCATGAGCCAGAACTAACGAGACACATGGGAGGGACTGCTCAAGATGAAGATGTGACACTGAAAGGCAGACTTCCCCTGAACATACTCTGAACACACACAGTTTGACCTCAGGATAATTCGGTGTCATCACATGCTGGAGCATACTGAAAGTCTTCGATTATACACGTGTGAAAACATGCAGAGATGATTGTACATGTCATAAAAATAGCATAGATGTGGGATAGTATATGTTATTATTTGTATTTCTAATTGTTATAGTATCTATACAGATTGTATGGGATGTTGATGACTGTAATCTATAATATAATAATCTATAATATGGTATATAAAATACTATGTCATGTGATATGATTCTTTAACACTAAATTTAAGGATAGCATGATTACTTTGTGCATGTGTTATGACAATGCGGGCAGTAGAAGTCTACTGAGAGCTGCCTTTAAGGTGACTGGCATCTTACCTATATTATTTCATTTGGTTTTGCATAAATCTGGAGAAAAGACATTTACCCCCATTTATAGGGAATGAAGACTTCAGAGCCTAAGCAAATCTCCTAGGCTTAACAGGTGGATCCAGCATTGACACTGAATGTGAGGTTGTCATCTACGTAGTTTATACTTGAGAAATGAGCAGTCAAACTGAAAGAGGGGGTTGGTTGGAAAGATGGCTCAGCCATTCAGAGATCTTGCTGTGCTATCATGAGAACCAGGCACCCACGTCAGGCAGCTTATAAAAGTGTGTCTCTCTCTGAAGGAACTACCACCCTCTTCTGGCCTCTATGGGTCTCCATCCATATATGAGTGCACATATGCAGATACACATTTAAATAAAAATAATGCAGATAAGTATTTTTTAATTACCAAAAAATAATAAAAATTGTCTCATAATGTTTTGAGTAAGTTGACATCTTATAGTGGTCTGTATTCATTAGCTGTTCTTGGTCACATGTGGCCAGTGGCTGGACAGTTAACAAGTCTGAAAGCCAAACTCCAAGTCTAACTCTTAAGCATGGTGACTTCTGATTTGTTAAAGGCGACAAGGAACCATTTGCAACTTTCCCTGCCTTACACATTCATTCAGGATCAAAGGCTTATGACTCCAGCAGGGAACATTGCCAGAGATCAGGAAGGAGGACTGGGTCCAAGAATTGAAGCCAAACTGGGGGTTTTATCATCTTAAACTCTGCAATGCATTTGTCAAAATAAATGTGAGAAATCTTTCATGTAAATTAAAAACTATCTCTTGTAAATGGGAAACACATTCTGACAAATCAGTGGAAACAGAAAAGGAAAATACAGTCACTCAGCTTAGACAGTGTTCTCTGTGTCTTAGGAGGACACGGCACAGACACAAAGGGAGGAAGCAGGCATTGGAGGAACACCAAGCCTTGCCATATTGATGCCCGTTGACATGCAGAGTGCTCTCCCATCACAGCTCACATGTGGGCTTCTGCATCTGGGACCTCTTAGGTTGTTGTTGGTGAAAGTCTAACTATGCAAATGTAGTGGTACATTGCATGATTACCCAAGAAGAGGAGCCTTGACTGGGGTCTACCTTCACCACTGCCCATTCTATATTCAGCAGAGGCCAGACATGTCTGAGACCCTGACAGGGTAAGAGGACAGAGATCCTGGGACAGGGGACCAGATAACTGCCCTCAGTCTTTACCCCACTGCTGAGAACAGTCACTGTAGCTGCAAACAGCTGAGACTTGGTGCGATGAGTACTTATCTCTTTGTTGAGACTGAGACCTTGGCCCAGCCTCCCCACCTAGGGGACGGGGTAGTTCCACTTATTCCTGATGGGGTTAAAATGGCTTCTTAGCAATTGTCTTACAGGCTAACATGAAATTAGTAACTTAAAAATAAAGTCATTCTTGTATAGTTTTGGAGGTCAAAATTCCAATGTGGATCTCACTAGGCTAGACTAGCCTGAGGACAGGAAGGAGTCTGTGTCTGTGACTCTGCTAGTCCCTAGAAGTCACCAGAATTATTGCTCATGATGCTCTCACCATTTTGACCTGTACTTCCACAACCAAATCTGTTCCCTTATATCCTTGCCTCCCTCTTATTGGGGACCACAGGGGGCCACTTGGCTTAGGATAACCTCCCTATTGCAAGATCTCCAACTTTGTCTGCTAAGTCTCCTTTTGTATATAAAGTGATCCATTCACAGGTTCTAGGATTAGGACTGGACATTGTATGTGGAAAATGGTCATTGTTCTGTTTATCATAGAAACTGATGAATAATTTAATTTTTTTAACTTCAATTCTGAGCACTCTTAAATGTGTTAGAGGCCTATTATTTATTCCTGAATTAACTGTCTCCTTCTTGTAGTTTCACAGTCAGCAGTGGCCTGGTTGAGGATTTAGTGGTCCATAAGCCACAGAACCTTTCTAATATTTCTAAGCAATCCACTGTAGTTCTTTGCCTGGCAGAGTAGTCACCCAGGCACTTGCTTTTTGATGAATGCTGTGATTGTCATTCGACCTAGTTACAAACACTCAGATTCCTCTCTATTTGAATGCCATGGTAGGGTGGAACCTTCCTATCCTTTTTGAAGTTAGCTTCGGTCTTAGAGTTTGGTCAAAGAATCAGCAAAGTATGTTACTCTTGGGGAGATGTGTGAAGAGCCACAGTGTAAAGGTGGATACAGAGCCCCTCAAAGCCCAAACAAACCTACCTAGAATCTGGTCTGCAGTGAAGAAATGGTATGTTGGGATCAATGACAGAGATCTTGGGGATATCTATTACTGCAGCATGACCTGTCATATGTTGGATTGCAGCATTCATGACCTGTTCCTTTCTTGAAGAAATCAGACATAAAGACCCCATTGTACCATAGGTGTCTGTTTAGTAACGAGACGAGATTTGAAGTGAGCAGAAGGAGGCACTGCCCGTTGTGACCACGGCACCCCAGATACCACATGCCATTTCCTACTACCTCCCTTAGCACTGATATTTTTTAAAAACAGTTTTTAATTTTATGAATAAAGACATCAACAACAAATCTTGTTTACGAACTTGGGAGAATCAGATATATGACAAATGGCAAAACCAAGTCTTAGGTTTGAAACCATCGTACACATCTCTGCATTTTCAGAAAATGATCCCATAATTTCATCTGTATATTTAGTGTTCTTTTATCAAAGTTATCCTGGAAGTAACTAGAAACTGTACCCCACTGATCTTTCTCACTGATTTCCTCTCCCATAGAAGCACTTCTCCCCAAGTCCCCTTCCTACTTTTGTGTGTGTTGCATGCAGAAGAAACACGGGATGGCCACAGGAACAACGTAGACGAATTACCTTGTTCTCTTTCATTAACACGTCTTCCACTGCCTGACGACTGTATTCTCCAATGTACCATTCATTCTGCCAGACATCCTATGGTGCAAGTCCAATGAAGAATGTTTTAGGATCAAAGGGAGGTATTCATTAGGGACTAATTAATTCAAATTCCACTTTGGTTCCACCAGTGTCCAATTACAGACTAATCGATAGATACTCAGCACAGAACGTTTTGTTCTGGAACCTGGAAATGTCCACTGATGCTGTGAGGAGATGGACACAGAATAAGCCACTGCAGCTGAGGATTCTGAGGTTGATAGGGATAAGAAGAGAGTGGTCGTTGGGAGGGGCCTGGAACTGCCTATCAATTAGGAGAAGTCCATCATTTGAGTCTTAGGAAGCATATACCCTCTATCTGTCGATGATTTTATTTAATTTTCTTTTAGACAGGGTGTCATGTATAACAGGCTGGCCTTGAACTCAGTATATATCTGAGGATGACCCAGAACTCCTGATCCTCCTGGTGCTGGGATTACACTCAGCCATCAATGATACCTGAATCTGCATGTGGTGGGGTTTTTTGAGGACATGTGCAGCCTGTGCTGTACTGGTCACTGCAAAAACAGTTCAGAGCGGATTGCTGCAGCCCTGTGTCTGTGTATCTTCTGCCTGGAGTCATGTAGTAAAATCAAGATTGGAAGTGTAACTTTGCTGGCTTTCTCCTATGCCACACTGACTTGTGTGGTGTGTGGTATTTGGGGAATAGACTGTGTCCTGCCCTAAGACACTCCACATTGTATACAGAAGTGGCTTTCAGATTGTCACTCCCTGGATGACTTCGCTTTACAAAGTAGTAGTTGACTCTCCTTCGAGGAAGGATGACTCTGTACTTTGCTGTGCACGTGAATGCCACCACCTGTCCAGCACCGACCGTGAGGCACAGGCAGTTTGTTCCTACCTGTAAACCTACCGGGGTGATTGAAGATGCAAGTCCAAGAAAGGGTGCAGTGGTGTCATCTGGATTCTTTCAAAGGAGGGAGGGACCCCTAACATCATGACTGATGGTAACAACCCCAACCATCTGTCATTTGACCACAGGTACCTCCACCAAGAGACTGCCAGCTGTCCCAGTGCCCCAGCTCAGCTCAGCTCCCACTGTTTACTCCTCACTCAACCACTATGGTCTGTCAGAATTTGGACCTGAAGCTCACCTTGGTGTCCTAGGCAGGTGGCTTGCCTCTGCAGTTACATCCTGAGATTAGCACTAACCTGTATTCTTGGATCTCTGGCAAGAATCCAACTGGGTTCCTTAGAGTCTAGCCTCCTGCAGTGACTCCCTGCATGCGTATCACTTCTCTGCCTCCACTAGGGCCTCTTTAAACTCTGTGCCCTTTTTAATCCTTTGTCACTGCCTTCCTCCCAGTTTATGGTATAATTATAATCCAAGAGTTAATATCGATAATTCATATACATTAGAGTAAAAGATCTTGGGGGTGCCAGTGAGCAGCTATCAAGGGAAATCAGGACTACTTAGGAAATAGCAGCCAATGAAACTGATATAGCTGGTGAGTTTATTACTCAGTGAATTCTGACATTGTAGAAAGATGCATCCATGCTCCTGGCATTGCATGTGTGCTGGTGACTGCATGGTCCTCCGATCTCTTTGTTGAGTTACCAGGATCCCGATGTTGAGTCATACCTCCCCAAGGCCCTTCCTTATTCAGTATCTCAAACCTTTCCCACATTATTTGTCTATGCATGATGGGCAATGCTCATTTTAGTTACAGATGGGTAGCAAAGGCTCGGTGAGTTAAAATCAACCACATGGTTGGCAATAATCAGGGGCATGACATCAAGTCTTTGGTTTCTCATTGAAGTCTCTGGTCTTCCCAGCACCAACATGATCCATCCAGTGATGGGCACAGGTGAACATGATCTGGCCAGCAAACACTAACTCCTACCTCACTGCAGCCTCACTTCCTTTAATGCCATCATATATCATGGACATGGCCAGTCAGATATATCTACTCTTCTAACACACACACACACACACACAAATACATACACACACACACATACACACACACACACACACACACTCCAGCTTCCCTAGGCTGGCCACTTCTTATAATTGATCCTCTGATCTCTGCTATTCAAGTCAGACATTGTGGTCCATTAAGAATCTAAGTCAACTGTTGAAATAAATTGACTTAATTGGTAAAAAAAAAAAAAAAAAGAATCTAACAAAAAATTAAAGGAAAACACAATCCAGGCAACCACAGGCAGTGAATCTCAAAAGCATTGTGCTCCATGAAACAAAGCCTGGAACAAAAGAGCCACTCTCTGGTTCTGTTTAGACAGGATTCTAGGAAGGACACCGGGTGTTGATGGAAATGAGGGTTGTCAGCAGCCAGAGGAGGACGAGACTTCACAGGGGCAGAGAGGAAACTGGGATGCCACGGAAATGTGTTTCTCGAGCCAGGAGAGCAACTAGCCTGGTATTTTCATTTGTAGAAAGCGTGGACTGGACATAATACTTGCAATTTCTCATAGATATTGCTTGTAAAGAATATCTTAAGTAGTTCTTTATAAACACAGACAAAAAAATGAAACTCAAACTCTTACTTTGTTTGAAGCCTCCTTTGTAATAAATTCCTCTATTTTATTTCATCAACTGGTGGGGACTTAGCACAAATTAGGCTTCCAACAACGTAAGTAAGAGTTTTACAGTGTGGGGAGGGTCCAGATCCTGCCCTAGGCAAAGCTCAGGCTGGTTCCCAGTAAGAAAGTGAGAACTCATCTCCTTGCCAGAGTTTGAGCCTGCTGATCCCTGTGGTCATTGTGGCACTGACTCTGGGGCTCCTGGGTAGTCTCAGGGCTTGGGAGGGCTCAGTCATAATGAGCTTCACTCATTCATTTGGTCTGTCACACTGGAAGATGCCTTGGATTATTAGTTGTCAATCTTCCTAATGGTGTGATCCTTTAATACAGCTAGTCATGCTATGATGTCCCCAACCATAAAATTGTTCTGTTGTTACTTTATAACACCAATTTTCTACTGTCATAAATCACAGTGTAAATATCTGATATGCAAAATATCTGATATGTGATCTACAAAGGAGTTGTGACCCACAGGTTGAGAACCATTGCCTTAGACTTTGTGGCTTGGGGTTTCTTATAATATCCAGATGTGGTTGTGAGGGGTGTATGGTGTAGGTTAGTGCTTGAGAGAAGGCCTTGGTGGCCTCTGAGTGACAATGAGGAGGAGCTCGTCTTTAGTCCTTTGCTGTCTTCTGAGTGACCGCAGAGCGCAGCACTTGATGTTAGTGTACCTTTAATAGCACTGACCTTTCTAGTCATCCCTGAACAGAGTCATGAGGCCTCTACTCTGGGAGCTCTTAGCAGGCTGAGGGGTCCTGCTGTACCTTTAAAAATGCACAATAAAATATACATAGTGTAAAGGGTCACTATTTTAGCTACTTTGAGTGCATAACTCATAGCATTAAGTGTATTTCTATTGCTTTTAAACCATTGTCATTATCCATTTCCAAGAAATTTTCCATCCTCTCAAACTGAAACTCTCGCTCACTAAACAACAGTTCTTCATTACTCTCTTCATCCCAGTCCTGAGGAACCACCTTGCTACTTGATATCTCTGTAGACTAGGCTGCTCTAGGAATAGCAGGAGGCACATGCTTGTCTTTTGGTGTCTGTCTTTCTTCATCTAGTATCATATTTTTGCATTTTATCTATGTAGAACACGCCAGATTTTAATTTATGTGTACGCGAAATGTTTTGTTTCTCTCTTTCTCTCTGTCTGTCTGTGAACGGATACCTGTGTTCTTCCTATCTGTTGACTATCATAACTAATGTAAACACAAGAATTCAAGTCCTGTTAGGTTCTTTTTTTCAGTTCTCTTGGGGAATGCCCAGTAGCAGAATATAGTAATTGCTTTCTATTTTACTTTTTTTTGTCTGTAGTCTGGAAAGCTGCTTTAAAAAATTATTAACATACCAATGCAAAGGGAAAGCAGTCAATTTACAGAGTATTATACAGACCTCATTATTGAGAGTATTTAGATCTGCCACAAGTCATAAGAGTTGCTGAACTGTTGAAAATGGGAACATACTGATATACTCCTAGCTCTTCTCATGTCCATGAGGAAGTCAGGCTCTGAGAGTTTGGTCTCATATAGACATTGAGTTAGAACTCAAGAATCCAAAGGCCTATGAGTGCAGCAGAGCAAAACAACAACAACAACAACAAACATTCAGGTGCATGTGAAAGGGAGACGAAAGAGGATTCCAGAGTTCACAGGAAGAATGAGAGGCCATTAGAGAATTAGGTAGAGATTAGTTAAAAGGCCAACCAAAGACATTTGAGGTACTATAGGGATTACAAGGAATTGATCAGAGATCCCAGATGCTTTACTTACAAACTTGAGAAGGTCTGGAGCAGGACACTCATAAGCCGAGGATATGGAATTAGAATAGCACCATCATTTTTGGTGCTGTCTTTAGTAAGTAATGTTACAGCTGCTGGAGGAAGGGGCAGATAAGACACAAGGAAAACTCACTCTTCTTAGTGGAAACCACAAATGCAGGATGGACTGAGAGGTGATTGTGCGACTGGAACTGATTTTAAGGAGAGATCATGAAACATGTGATGGATAAATAAAGCCACTTATTAGCTATTTCTAGCTTGCGCTCTTCTGTATCAAGGATCTTAGCTCCTCATACTGACTGACACATATAATCAGTGCTCAGGAAATGGCTGCCATACTCAACTGAAGTTGAAATGTGGTGTGTGAATCTTTTGATGGAAAATGAACTCAGATGTTCAAATCCCAGTTAATCATCCATGAAACTTAACAAATGTAAATTGAAATTTCTCACATGTCCTTCTCCACCATAATTAATGAGCAGAATATTCTGAGAAGCAAGAAAACATGCAAGTTGAAAATCTGGTGAAAGAGTAAAGAAATCTGAGACAACAAAACCTTTTAGAAACATCAAAACCCAATGATTTGTCCTTGTATGTGTGGTGGATTGAATATGTATGGCCCCCGTAGACTCATGTGTTTAAATGCTTGGCACATAGGCAGTGGCACTATTAGGAGGTGTGGGGTTGTTAGAGTGCATATGGCCTTGCTGGAGGAAGTGTGTCACTGTAAGGGTTGGTTTTGAGGTCTACAATACTCTAGATGTGCTCAATGTGGCACATAGTCTCCTTCTGCTGCCTTCAGATCAAGACATAGAACTCTTAGCTCCTCCAGCACCATGTCTGCCTGCGTGCCACCAAGTTTCTTGCCATGATAATAGACTAAACCTCTGAAACTGTAAGCCAGCCCCAGTTATTTGTTTTCCTTTATAAGAGTTTCTATGATCATAATGTCTTATCATAGCAATAAAACTCTAACAAAGACAGTAGGGGAAAACAATAAATGGCCACCACTGCTTTGGGCATTCTCAGTGAGCTCTCACTGGATGCCAAGACTGCTAGAAGAGCTTGCTGAGAAGCTACCGTCTCACCTTCTCATCGGGCTCTGTAGGGACAGGTTTCTCTGAGTTTGTGTTTTCATAGGGCAGCATACGAGGGCTGTGGCTGGCTGCAGCATGGCATCTCTGAGGAGGACGGTGTTGCATGAAACTTGTATGGTCTGGAAAGAGATTATACTTAAATGCAGTTGCATTGCTATCTCAATCTGTCTCCCTCATCACTTCTGCCTGTCTGTGGCCATCTTTGTGGACTAGACAACACCTTCTCACCAGGGACTGCAGTGCTCCCAGGATTACTCCTCTACTTCTACATTCTCCCTCCCCAAACTGAACCTGAAGTAATCTTCCAGAACCGTAATTGTGTAGTTGGGGAGTTAGCTCAGTGGGTAAAAGTGTTTGCCTTACAGCTGTGATGAGATTTCAAATCCTTAGAACTCATGTAAAAGCCAGATGCTATTGGACAACTTTATTCCCAGCATTCCTACCAGGAAATGGTAGGCAGAGACAGGCGAATCCCCAGAAGCTTACAGACCACCAAATTGATGGGTGGGGTGGCTTAAAATCCTAGGGGTGTGATCAGAGTGCCATCTCTCTTCTGGTCCACTCCTACACATATAGCAGTCACAGACCAGCACTTTGCACCCCACCCCACAGCTCTGCCTGCCTACCAGGAGGCCAGCTCAAACTCGAAACACACAGTTCCATTTGTCTCCTAGGAGGCCTGCTACAACCCAGGACACCTAGGCCAGCCAACACCAGAGACAATCAGATGGTGAAATACAAGTGTAAAAACATAATCAATAGAAGACAATGCAATATGGCACCATGAGAACCCCACACCCATCATCCTACTACAGCAAGCCCTGAATATCCTAACACACCTGAAGAGCAAGACTGTGACCTTAAATCCCATCTCATAAAGATGATAAAGGCTTTTAAAGAAGATATAAATAATTCCCTTAAAGAACTATAGGAAAACATAGTCAAACAGGTTGAAGGCCTTAAATAGGAAACAAATAAATCCCTTAAAAAATACAGGAAAATATAATCAAACAGGCAAAGGAAATGAATAAAACAGTCCAAGAACTAAAAATGGAAATAGAAGCAACAAAGAAAACACAAATGGAGGTAACCCTGGAGATGGAAATCCTGGAGATGGAAACCCTGGAGATGGAAAGGGAACAGGAAGATGCCAGCATCACCAACAGAATACAAGAGATGGAAGAGAGAATTTCAGGTATAGATAATACTATAGAAGAAATGGATACATTGATCAAAGAAAATGCCAAATGTAAAAGTTCCTAACTCAAAACATACAGGAAGTTTGGGACACTGTGAAAAGACCAAACCAAAGGATAACAGGAATAGAATAGGGTGAAGATTCCCAGCTCAAAGGGTCAAAACATCTTCAACACAGAAAAAACTTCCCAAACCTAAAGAAAGAAATGGCTATAAACATACAAGAAGCTTACAGAACACCAAATAGATTTGACCAGAAAAGAAAATCCTCTCACCATATAATAATCAAAGCACTAAATATACAGAACAAAGAGAGACTATTAAAAGCTGCAATTAAAAATGTCAAGTAACATATAAAGGCAGACCTATCAGAATTATACCTGATTTCTCAACAGAGACTCTAAATGCCAGAAGATTCTGGACAGATGTGTAATAGATTCTAAGAGACCAGCACAGACTACTGTATTCAGCAAAACTCTCAACCATCATAAATTGAGAAACCAAGATATTCCATGACAAAACCAAATTTAAATAATGTCTTTCTACTTACAGAGAATACTAGAAGGAAAATTCAAACACAAGGAGGGTAACTATATCCTAGAAAACAAACAAAAAAAATTAATCATCTCACAGCAGAACAAAAAGAAGAGAAACTCAGACACATACACTAATACCTTCAATATCAAAGGAACAGGAACTAACAATCATTAGTCATTAATGTCTCTCAACATCAATGGATTCAATTCACCAATAAAAAGACACAGGCTAACAAACTGGGTATGTAAACAAGATCCATCATTCTGATGCATACAAAAAGCACACCTCAGCAACAAAGATAGATATAACTTCAGCATAAAAGGCTGGAAAATGTTTTCTAAGGAAACAGACCCAATAAACAAGCTGGTATAGCTTTTCTAAAATTGAATAAAATAGACTTCAACCACTAATCTATCAAAAGAAATGAGGAAGACACATCATTCTCATCAAAGGAAAAATCCACCAAGATGAAGTCTCAATTCTAAACATCTATGCCCCAATGCAAGGGCACCCAAATTCATAACGATCACTTTACTAAAGCCCAAATAACACATTGAACCTCACACAATAATAGTAGAAGACTTCAACACCTTATTTTCACGAATGGACAGGTTATTGAAACAGAAACTAAACAGAGAAACAGTGAAACTAACAGATTTTATGAAACAAATGGATTTAACTGATATCCACAGAAACTTTTACCCCAAACCAAAAGAGTATGTCTTCTTCTCAGCACCTCATAGAACCTACTCCAAAACTGACCATATAATCCGGCACAAAGCAAGCTTCAACAGATACAAGATTAAAATAACCCCTTGCCTTCTGTCAGATCTTCATGGATTAAGGCTAGACTTCAACAACAGAAACAACAGAAAGTCCGCTTACTCATAGAAACTTAACAGCTCTCTACTCAGTGATCACTTGGTCAGGGAAGAACTATGTTGAAGTTTGCCCTGTTGCTATGTATTGTAATGCTAAGCACAGGCCCCCAAGACCTGGTTGCCCCAGAGATGAGAGAGACCACATATAGACCTAAATGATGCTATATAAACTTGCCCTAAGTTATTTCTGATTGATGAATAAAGATTCTGACAGCCAATAGCTTTACAAAAGAGACATAGGCGGGGTTTGGGGTCTGGGCTTAGGATCAGAGGAAAACCACAAAGAAGAGAAGAAGTGAGGAGGAAAAGACAAATGGCATGGGTTAGGAGTCAAGAAAACATGGCCCCGAGGGCTGGCCAATAGGAGTTAAGATCAGCCCAGATGAAATATAGTAAGAAATAACTCAGGGTTATCAACAGAATAGTAGATTCTAATAGCATAAAGGGTAGATACCTGCCCAGCTCTTGTGCTATTTAAGGGTTATTGTAAATAATAAAAGTTGTGTGTCTTTGATCTGAATGATCAAAGCTAGGGTAGAAACCCTTAATAGGAATTAAAATTTTCTACAACAGAAATAAAGAAAGAAGTTAAAGATTTTCTAGAATTCAATGAAAATGAAAGCACAGCATACCCAAACTTATATGATACAATGAAAGCAGTGCTATGAGGAAACTTCATAACACTAAGTGCCTTCATAAAGATATTGGAGAGAACTTACACTAACAACTTAACAGTACACCTGAAAGCTCTGTAACTAAAGGAAGCAAACACACCCAAGAGGGTTAGATGACAGGAAATAGTCAAACACAGGGCTGAAATTAATCGATTTGAAACAAAGAGAACAATACAAAGAATCAACAAAATCAGGAGCTGGTTCTTTGAGAATGTTAATAAGATAGACAAACCTTTCATTAAACTAATTAAAAGGCACAGAGACATATCCAAATTAACAAAATCAGAAATGAAAAGGGAGACATAACAACAGAGGAAATTGAAGGTTCATTAGGTCTTACTTCAAAAGCTTGTACTCCACAAAACTGTAAAATCTAAGTGAAATGGATGAATTTTTAGACACATACCACATACCAAAGTTAAATCAAGATCAGGTAAACTATCTAAACAGTCCCATAATCCCTAAGGAAATAGAAATAGTCAGTAAAAGTCTCCCAACCCCAAAAAGCCCAAGGGCAGATGCTTTTAGTGAAGAACTCTACCAAACTTTCAAAGAATTGCTTTTTTTTTTTTGATATACACATATATATATAGCTGATATACTTTGAAAGTTTCTACAAAATAGAAAACTCTGGAGTGCAGAAGTTAAGAAAATAACCTTCATACTGAAAATATATCCTTAAAAAACAAAACCAAACCTCTGTACAAATGCAGCGGAGCATACATGTTTGAAAAGATGGTATTAAGGCGTGAGGCGTCGCAAGTCTCTTAGAAATGTGTGAACGCGGGGCTGCTAAGTTGAAAAGTCATTTTCAAAAAAATGCGAGTGAAAACTTCATGGATATAAAAATATTTCAGTGTGCTATTTGATAACATTCTTCTTCACTTGCAGGTTTTGCACGCATGCCAACCTGGCATGTTCTTTCTTCATAAATAATAAAGTGTTCCTTCAGCAGGGTTTGGTGGCTTGCCTCGGCTCTGGTCCCCGGTCTCAGTAAGTCTGGTAGACGTCGTGGATGGGCACCTGGAGAGCAGCGGGGAAGGCCTGAGGTATGTAGCCGGCGTAGCCCCCGTACACAACGGCCGCGGTGTTCTTCTGTAGTGTGGCGATTGTGGCAGTGGCAGGAGCAGCAAAGGGGACGTAGCTGGCCCCGTAGATGCCGGTGGTGGGGATTCTCTGAACATTTGATGCCACAGTGTACACAGGAGTTATTGGACAGCCCTGGAAAGGTGGCGGTGTGGATACTGCAGGAATGACGGCAGCAGCTGTGGCGGCAGCAGTGGCGGGGTCAGGCTGCACCGCGATGGGGCTGATCATGTGTTCCATTGTGTGGATCTTGCCATCTTCAAGTATTTTCGGGGCTGGGGCTGCCTGGAACGTGGAGTACTGGGCACCGATGGCAGGGATGGCCACTGTGCCAGGCTTTATAGCAACTGGATTGACAGTAGAGATTTCCAAATTCGGAACAAGCTCATATCCTTTTTCTTGCTGTTTGCCTTTGCCTTTGTGATATCGGCTATATATACCACGGCCAGCAGAATATCCTCCGAGGTAGGAACCCCTGGGCCCTGGGGTTCTGTTTCCAGCTGCGCCTCTCCCTCGGCCTCTTATGCTGCCTGTTTTCACGAAGTAGTCCCGGTTGGGCCCGATGAGAGCGTTGTAGGGGTAGCCATAATAGGCCAGTGTGTAGGGGTCACAGGAGTACACGTAGCTGGGCTGCTGTGCTACCGCCTCAGCTGAGCCGCCACCACCCTTAGCTGCCTTCTGGTAGCGGGAGTACTGCTCCTTGTCCACAGGTTTGGCCAGCGTGACTTCTAAGCAGGAACCCTC